GACTGATATTCCCACGAAGGACCATGCATGGAGAGGACCCAGAGCCTCTGTTCAAAAGAAGCCCATTAGGTGATCAGTTTCCAAGTGGGTCCCTAGTAAGGGGATCAGGGGCTGTCCTTGCTACAAACTCAGTGGCTGGCTCTTTGATCACCTCTCCCTGTGGGATGCAGCCTTGCCAGACCACAGAGGAAGATGATGTAGCCTACCCTGATGAGACCTGATAGGCAAGAGTCAGATAGAAGGAGAGGAGGACCTCCTTTATCAGGGGCATAGGAGGAGAAGAGGGTAAGTAGGTGGGACTGGGAGGAGATCGTGGGGGGCTACAGCCAGGATACAAAGTGAACATATTGTAATAAATAATAAGACAATGCAGCCAGGCCTGATGAGATCTGATAGGCTAGGGTCAGAGAGAAGGGGAGGAGGACCTCCCCTATCAGTGGACATGGGAAGGGGCATGGGAGGAGAAGAGAGAGGGATTCAGAGGGGATAAGGGAGAGGGCTACAGCTGGCCTACAACATGAATAAACTGTAATTAACAAAAACAAAAATTAATAAAGAAAAATCAATTGGATTCTGTCATCCGTGCACCTATATGTCAGGTTTCATGCATGCTAAGTGCACAGTCTACAAACCAAGCTACATTCCCAGTTACCAAGGGTGATTCTACCCTTGGCTGTATTTTTCAGAGAACAACCAGATTGCACCTTTGAGTGCAATCAATGCTACATTGCTTTGGGCCAGCATGGCCTCTCACTCAGTAGAGTGATTCATGAGGTCTCGCATTGTCCGAGTTTCCACCTCCTCTGTGACTTCATCTTCTTTGCTGCAGACCTAAGGTTCTTTTTATTACTTTATCCTGGGACTTTGCCTGGAACTGGCCAAAGGAGCACTGATCATTAGCTTCTGGAGGAATTATTTTCTCTATCTGGTATTTCCTTACTGAATATGCTATCATTTTTACTGTCTTCAGATCTCCCCTCAAATGTTAGATTATCATAGATCTTCATTTTCTCACCCTTTCTCAACAATCTTGATATCCTCTATTTTCTGTTCCATGGTGGTTCCATTGTGGTTCACAGGAGTAGTTGTTGGAGACGGTTAGTGAAGGGCGGATATGGTCAAAATACAATTTACACATGGATTAAATTCTTGAAGGATAAATAATAGATTAGTACATATGCTAGTGCTTTGTGATTGGAAAGAGAAAGCTGCATATGAGGCATTGAGTATTACAAAAGAAGACTGACCTAATCTGAGGGGTGCAACATATTGTGACCAGCTGAAATCTGAAGCAGCTAAAACTTTTTTTTTTAATTTAAATTTATTTTTTTATACTTTATTCATTTTACATCTCCATTGTAGCCTCCTCTGTCATCTCCTCCTGGTCTCCTTCTCTCCTTATCTCCCCTATCTGCTCCCCTATTGCTCAGAAAGGGGGAGCCCTCCTCCCATACCATCTGACCCAGCCTATCAAGTCTCATCAGGATTCCCTGCCCCTTCTTCCTTTATGGCCTGTCGATACCCCACCCCCCCACTATCAGGAAGTGATCAAAGAGCAGGATACAGAGTCCATGTCAGAGTCAGCTTCTGCTCCCTTTACTAGGGTACCCACATGAAGACTTAGCTGCCTGTCTGTTGGCCACATCCTAGCAGTGGGTCTAAGACCTCTTCATCATGGTCCTTGGTTGGTGCATCAGTCTCTGCAGGCCCCATGGGCAGAGAATAACAGAGCAGGTAAAAATTTTAATGATGAGAGCAGTCAATCAGAGGAAAGGGAAAGAGAGTTATGTCACTAGAAAAGGACAAAACACTAGTTGTGTACACTAGAAGGAGCAGGGTATGCCACCTGAAGGGAAAAAGTCTTTGTGTCCTTTGACAATCCCAGACTCTTGTTTTGATGTCTACATTTGTCGATAGACTACAGCAAAATAAATGCTGTTCAACCTTAAAATACAATCTGACAGTGAACAGAGGATTCTCTTGTTGGCTTCTTACATTTCAGGAACGAGTTTGCCACCAACCGAGAAGTTTAACCTCAATCCTCTTGTTCATGCTAACGGGCTTATTTTCATTTCTTCTTCAAAGAACACACACCCTCACAATCTGCTGCTTTGTAGCTCATCCTTTCTCATCCAGCTAGCTTCCTATTTTTATTGCTGAGTCATCCAATCAGGCTTAATTGTCTCTCTCTCTCTCCAGCTGGCTTCATCCTTTTGGAGGAAAAATAAATATGCTACAGGTGCACTTTTTAAAATTAGGAAAACATGAGTCCCGAAATATGGATGGGGCGAGAGTGTAGTGGTGTATTCTGAAATTGTCAGAGTTGGTTACGATCTTGCATTTTTCCTTAAGGTGGCCAGTAGTAGTTTGTAAAGCATCCATTCCATCCTATAAACAGTCCAACCCACGGGGCTCGTGGAAAATTCTGTTCTTTTTAAATTTTTTTTCATATAGTCTTTATTTTGTGGCTTAATTATTTCCTTTCATTTTCCTTCAAAATAAATGTGGCATGGTATAAAGAGATAAGAAAATTACATAGCTAAAATGATTTAGAAATAACTATGCCTTTTGTTTCTGTACTAAAGAGCAAACCCAGGGACTCACACATGCTAGGCAAGTGATGTAACAATGAGCTATGCATTCCATACACTAAAATGCATCTTTTTATTTCTCTTCTTTATTTTGTTTATTAAAAAAAAACAAAAACAAAAACTGTATTTCCAAATAAAATAGTTGTTGGAAAGTGGAAAAGGAATGTTTAACATTCCTCCTAAGAACAAGGCTTGTTGCTATTATCTCATAGGAATGTTAAGGAAAGTGCCATGAATATAAAGATTCTGGAGAAGCTGGGGAGATGGCTCAGTTGATGGAGCATCTGCTGGATTGCCCTGCCCATGGGACTCGGATTATTCGTGGGATTCGAGGCGAGAGAAAAGGAAGGGAACCAAGCAGTAGTTTGTCAAGGTTCCGTTTATTGTAGGGCAAGGCTTTACTTTTATGCTCAAATAATAAGGTAGTGAAACAAGAGGGAGAGGGGCAAAAGGTTATCTCATGAGTCATTGAGGCTTTCCGTGGTTTTATCCTTAACTGTTAAAACCGGTCAGGTGGGGGGGTAGTTCTTGGTTTCGAGAAGCAATCTGTCCAGGTGGTCAAGGCTGATTGCAGACCCTGGAGCCAGCATCCATCGTAACTACGTGCCTGGGATTCTTGGTCCCCTGCACTGGACAGCTTGACAAGTACAAGCACCTCAGTTCACATCCCCAAGACACAAAAAGTCGAGGTCAACAAGGAGCATCTGTAACTCTATCCGGGTCTCCCCTGCTGAATTAAGGTACTCCAGGTTTAGTGAGAGGCCTCATGACAAGAATGAGACACCTAATGTTGACCACTGGAAAGCAAGAGCATATTCACATATGCACATGTATGCTCTCTCTCTCTCACACACACACAGACACACACAAACCCCTACACAATGTAACTTGAGAATAGTCTTTATTCCATGTGCCTGATTGCAAGGTAAAAAGAGAGGGCAGAAGTATTGTGAGATCCAGATGATCAGGGAATTTGTTGTGAGGTGGTGTCTCTCAAGAAGCCTCACCAATATGATTGCCTCAAAATGAACTTATTAAGGACAACGACAATGGACATGCTAAGAGAGGGAAAGAAGGAAAGGCCTAGGAGGTCTCAACACTGAAAAGAACTACAGGATACTAAGGAATGCTGATAGGTGGAGAAAGAGTCTTCCCCTGGGAAAAGCACACCAACTGGTTACCAAATAGTCAACTGTGGAAACATATACATGAGTAACATTATAAAGACAGAGAAGGTTGTACTTATGCATTTAGGAATACGCATACACACACACCTGCACACACAAGCAGGTGTATAATAACAATAATGAATAAAAACCATCATGAATTTGAAAGAAAGAAAAGGGTGGGGTATGGGAAGATTGGTAGGGAAGAAAGGAAAAGGGTGATGATGTAATTATATTATAATCTCAAAAAAATTAAAATTTCACACTGTATATAATGGTAAGAAATTCTGTAAGTGTTCAGTGTGGATGCAGGTATTAGATGTTTTGACCTACGGTTGGTTGACTCTAGAGGAGCAATAACTCATAAATACCGAGAGACAACTATGTGCTACTGTATAAATTTGAAATGATCTAAGCTTAAGCGGGGTAGGAGACATTGAAAATTGGCTAATTCCTGGAAAACTTTCAGGGAAGTAACTTGATAATGTGCTGTTGTCTTATTTTTAATGTTTTTCTCATGTTAAATTATATTTATTTATGTGTGTGTGTTCGTGTGTGTGTGTGTGTGTGTGTGTGTGTGTGTGTGTGTGTGTGTAAGAGCTGGGGACGTGCATCTTTGTGAGCAAGTGTCCACAGCACTAGAAAATAATGTTAGTTCCCCTCGAGCTGCAGTTCCAGATGGCTTCTGGGAACCAACCTTGGTTTCTATGCTAGAGAAAGAAATATTCTTAACAGCTGAGCTGTCCTTCAAGTCTCCTGTTGTCTGATACTAGACTTTATGTTATACTTTTAGAGTAAGGTAAAGGAGAAATAGCCACATGTCTTCAAAAGAAAGATTTGTGCTTCTAAAAAGTAAAAATGTTTTCTTTTGCATTCATAGTAAAAAGAGTCAGAGAAAATGCAAAAATTAAAACTTCAGCATTTCTTCAAATATAGTGTTGTCTAAATGGTTTGTTTTATTTTATTTTGACAGTCATATATGACTTTGCAATATTTAAAGTATTTCCTGAAAAAATTATTTATCAACATTTAATTCCTTACAGCCATATAGACCTACTTTTGAAAGTTACTATTGTTTTGGATCTTTTTGTACTCTGAATTTTGTTTTTGATGGTAAGGTAGTTGGAGAGATAGTCGCTCTAACTGGTCATTCATAGTATGTGAAGGCAACACTTCACATGAATGATGTAAAATAATACAAACAGTAAGTATAAAGGCCATTATTATTTTTTTCCTTTCACAGGTAAGAAACTTAGGTTCAGACAATCAAAGAGACTTGTCTATCACAGGAGATCTGAGGGAGATGTTCTATGAAATTAAAATGTCTAATGATGCCAATGTGTGGGTTTCTTCCAAATGTCATGTCATCTCCTTTAGAGCCAGTGCCTTGGGTTACTGAAATTCAGGACACCTTGATAGTGAGAGTACTACAGAAAAGTGGAATTTAATTCAGTGTGATAACATGAGGTGAAATAAGGCAACCGTGAGAGAACTGGAGACTTCTATTCTCAGCTTTGTCACTATCTTATTAAGTGAGCTCAGAAGAGCTTTTAACCTTTCAAAACCTGACTCTCTTCTTCTGGAGGGAAAATGAAGAAGGAGAGACTTTTCTAACAAGGATGTTCTGAAGATAAGGTAGTGTGGGTTCCCAGTTCCTGGAGAAAAGTTTGCTAAATGTGAGAGCTCTGAGTAAATAATTATCACAAGCTCAAATCAGCCTTGCAAGTTAACAGAGCATTTTCTTGTCAGAAAGGACCAAGTACAAGGTATAGGTATCACTGTGTCTTTTCTAAGACTAGAATCATTGCTTGAGTAGGAAGAAATATGTTTAAAAATGGAATAGGCTTGCAGACGACACATACCACTAACATTTGTTTGTGTTCTTTATTAATTATGTAAACTTTAAAGGTATAGATGTCATCCGAATAAACAAGAGATTAGGTTCAATGTTCTGTAGTGTCTAGTATAGCTATTACAACTAGCTAGGATTGACATATCCCAACCATCTGGCATGATGCAGGTCACTTAACAGATTCTGAAAACATGCTGACTGAATGAATAAATCATTCACTGCCTTGCTTTGCTAACTGGGGTTGTATAGACTATATTGACAGAGAACCACAAGGATACTAGGAGAGGTCTTTATACCAAGATAAGAAAGTCTGGATGTACTGTGATTCTCCTCAGGTACCAGTGGTATACTTCTGGAATTTTGCTTGAATTACTCTGTAGTGCATTGTGTATCCTTATGTAAATTATAATCTTTAGCTGTTAAACTAATTTACATAATGCATTTATATAAATAGAGTAAGTTCTTTATGTAGTTTAGTTCCACACTGCTTTCCATACTTGTTTTCTGATACCAGGAGGAGAGTTAAGTTTCTTTTCTTTTTTACTTAGAAACAAATTTAAATTTACAGAGTTGTACATTAGTGTATAAAATTCCTCTGTGATTTTGATCTTCTCCAAGATTTATAATCTTACAAAACTGACATATTTATTAAAGTAAAAATTGACTTTAGCGTATTGTCCATTAAAATGATGTCATTAATTAAACTATACATTTTATTTATAGACTTACAATGCTCATTGGTGTGCTTTGTCCCTGGGATTAGTTATAGGACTTCATGTCCTAATGGTACCTGCTTTTTTTTTTTTTTTTTCATAGATTTGGGATGTTCTTCAATCCTTTTGCAACATTGACATTGTCAAAGACTGGAAGATTTGTAGAACATGTTTAATTGTAATATTTCATCATGTTTGGACTAGAGCCATGCTCTCTTTATGAGAAAATGTATTTTAGGGGACATTCTCTTCTTGCCTCTCATCAAGGGCAAGTGTCGTCATCAATGCTTAGTGCTGGTGATATTAGTGTCAGTCACTTGGTTTATATATTGTTTTCCAGATTTGTCTACTGTAAAATTACTATCTGCTTTATCTTTTTTTCACACTTCATTCCTTAGAAGAAAATTACTAAGAACATGTCCTTATCCAAAGGAGAAAAGTGCTAACAACAGAATAGTAATAAAAATTTAGGAACATAAGTTCCACAGAACTTAAGTTCTGTGGTGTTATAATGATGATTTTATATTACTTCAATTCTATGACACTTATTGGCTACAATTGTTAGCTAAGGAAAATGTTCCCCTTACTCGTCCATTTCTTTGTCTGCATCAGTAGGTTTTCATGATTATTCACTGTTGTTGCCCAATGTTTTCATTATTTATTTTGTTTCTCAACCTAGGCCAGCCTTAGCCAACTCTTAGGTTATCTATGATGTATTATAGATAAGCTTCTAGATTGAATTTGCAGCCTTTACCTATTTTGCACATTTCACTACATGATCCACATTCGCCTTGCGTTCTCTATACCCAGTCCTTGAATATTGAGTTTCATTTTTTTTTGATAAAGAGAGAGAGAAAGACATCATTGTTCATTTCTTTTGTTAGACTACCATGCCATTATTGTTTCCCATCCCCACCCAGTGGAGGTTTTATTTCATCTTGCAGGGTGCAGTATGTTACAGAGGGAAGTCAGGCTGTTGGCTGGGTTACTCACAAACTCATGCTTATCTGGCTTTCTTAGATAGCTCAAGACCTTCTGTCCAGAAAGTGGTACTAGTCACAGTGGGCTGGACCCTCCTGCATCAATTAATTGAGACATCCTCCACAGACGTGCCATTGGACGGTCTCATCTTGGCAGTTTGTCAACTGAGTTTCTCCTATCAATGGACATGGGGGGGGGAGCATGGGTGGAGAAGAGGGAGGGAAGATGGGATTGGGAGGGGAGAAGGAAAGGATACAAAGTGAATAAACTGTAATTAAAAAAAATACCAAAAAAATAGTTCAGGTATTCAGTTCTTAAAGTGTGGCCAAGTACATTACTATCTGAAAATATATTAGAAATACAAGATCTTGTGCTTGACCTCAGGACTTTGGGGATGAGGTCCAGGAATTCGGAGTATGACAAGTGCTTGAGGGGATTATGATAATCACTGATGTTTGAAAAACATTCTGTTAGGACCTTTTATTCAGCATTGGTTCAGTCTTGCCATTGTTAGGAGAGCTTGTTAGAACAATGACATAGTCAGACTTTGTTCCAGGCCACATTAAAATTAATATTTTATCAAGAACTTGAATAATTTTTATGTTTATTAAAGGCTGAACTACTGTGCTGGAGGAAGAAGAAATAAGTGCTCTTTTAAAATGTATTAACCAAAGGCGGATAGCATCACTCGGTGGGCAAAACACTTTGCCATGCAATCCTGATGACCTGAGTTCAGTTCCCAGAACCCATAGTGGAAGCAGAGAATTGATTCTCCAAAGTTGTCCTTTGAGTTCCACATACACACTGCAGCACATAGACCTGTAGTCATATACGCATCATATACACTGTGATGACCGGTTTTAGATGTTGCCACATCCTTGAATTACCTACAAAAGAAATTGTGTCCATCAGGTTGACCAGTGGGCATGTCTGTGGGGGATTGTCTTGACTGATTTTTTGGGGTGAGACAATGCGATGCAACTTGTATGTGAGTAGCACCATTTCATGGGCTCTACTCTGGACTCTGAAGGGAAAGTCAAGAAAGTTCTGAAAGTGAAGAAAGTAACCTGAGCAGAAAAGAGTCAAGAAAAGATACCTTTCTCTGTGTTCTTGAGGTATTGTGATGAGTTGCTTAAATCTTGCCTCGAATTCCTTGAAATATTAAACTATAATGTAGCATTGTAAGCCAACTAAAGTTTTTCCTCCCCTGGGGGAAAAAAAGAATGTTCTCATTCACTGTTGTTTGTAGGAACTGTTCATACTTGCTGAAAAGATAAAAAAAGAAGTTTAACAGCTCATGCTGGCTACTCCTTTAAGAATATTTACAACTTAAAAACGTTTCTGCTAAATTTGTTAAATGCATTTTTAAAACTATTCTTCACAAGACATGGCAAAATAGAATGTCTTCCCATTTAAAAAATGAACAAATTAAGACTGTGAAAATTATTTTAATTCTCATAAGGACATATCAGTTTTTCCTGACTACCTTAATAGATGAGAACGTAAGTGACATGATAGAGTTCTTGCTAATGGAATATGAGTAATACCAATGAACTTATTATTGTACTGACTTAAAGCATCAGACAATTTATTTCCCCATTTCTCTCTCTTTCTTTGTTTTGAGGCCTGCTCATGGGTGATAGAGGGAAAAAAATACAGGTAGAGCATGACCTCTAGATTTTCTATTGGGTGCATAGAACCTTGCCCATAAAAATATTTCCTGACCTTAATATGGGCCTGGTTATCTGGTTAATTTTTAACTTTCATTAAAAATCAAGGACATCTATGGTTTAGTTGTTTGAACTGTTAGTGTCACTTTGATTAATGGACAGGTTTGTACATTTATAAGACTGCCAAAGGGCAGCTATTGTTCTGAAACAACTAAACAATTCAGTGATGGTTTAATTTAACTTCATAGCTCCTTATTAGTGTAAATGTACATTTTTCCATTTAAACATTTATAATTATCTTATTACTATAAGTAACACAACATATCTCTATCATACATATCTGGAGGAACAAGAAAACTTTGAGACTTTAAAAAAATGTGATTGACTATTAATCTCACCATCTCCTTCGATAGTCTGATGGGGAGAGTCAGAGATCCCCTGTGGAAGGTTCTGCCCTGTCCCTTGTCTTGTCCCACTTCTGATGTTATCCTCTTTGTCCTCCTGAGTGAGGTTTCAGCCTCTTCCCTAGGGTACTCTTTGTTATTTAGTTTCTTTAGGTCTATAGATTTTAGTAATTTTTTTATCCTATATTATAGGGCTAATATCCACTTATAAGTGAGTATATTCCACATGCATCTTTCTGCTTCTGGGTTACCTTACTTTTGGCAGCATGCAGAAAACCTTATGGAAGAAGAGGAAGATAGAAAGACCGAGAGAGGACAGAAACTCCACAAGGAACTGGGAGGAGGTGAGGGATGGATCTACAGCAGGGATACAAAGTGAATAAATGTTTCCCTATTTTGTAGAGTAAATACAATTGAAGCAAGGAGAAAAATTTCAGCTTTGAAGAATTAAAATTAAATTAAAGTTGCCTTACCGTTCTTTGGTTTCCTCAGTGGGTTTCAAACATACGCCTTACTCTACCAGTGAATTAGATTCCAACAAAATGATCCAATGGACATATTTTGGAACTAGCATTACCTCATAACAAATGCCCATTCTCTGGATAATGTTGTGTTTGTTAATTAGGCTCCCACAATAATAAAAACCATTTTATTTTAGCTGTAAAGCATGTGGCAGATGCTAAAATACCACAGGAAAAAAAAACCCCAGCAAATGAATCAACAGGCATTTTAAAATGTATTTGAGAAAATGCATTTTAGAAAATTCTATAAGTTTCGCC